TCAATATCCTGGAAGAACCCATTTTTTTACGCGTAAAAATCTTTCGAAATAGATTTTTAAATACGCATCGAATACATCATGAAGAAAAAAATTAGTTTATGAAGTTTTCATTCAGAACCAAGGAAAAAATACAAAAATGAATCGATTTTGGGGCTTGGAAGGCTTGGGCAAGGCGCGCCTTGGGCAAGGTTTCGCCACAACTGCACAACATGAGATCAAACAACCAAAGCACAGGCTGACCACTGTGATGGCAAAAATAAATCGAAAGCCGATGTTCAAGACATTCACAGCAACGCCATGCATCATGCTAGCAAAGCCGGACAAAGTGTGCATATCAACAACATGGGCTATCACATGTGCTAGCAAGAGACCATGACATCGATGTTGATCATGTTCATCTGACAAAAGCACTGACTCTCACAGAAATTTGTCTAACATTACACATTCAAACTATACAAAGTTGAACTCGCTTCGTACAGTCTCGATGTGGGCACAATTGGACTGCATAACTTGCCGGCACAGGCAGTCGCAATTGTTTGAACAATGATCTGAAATGTGCAGCCAAGCGATCCTCCACCGTGAGCCTGAGTTAAGCAAACACTCATGTTCGCTGTTCAACGGTCCATAAATCATATGATGAGGTCATGCCAGCAGATCAAATCCATGTGCACGGCAGTCACCATGTTCCCCCCTGCATACAGCAACAAGTCATTCTCATCATCCCGTCCGGTCCTTCTGGAGCATGTCGTGAGTTGCACATGAAACACGAAACCCAAGACAGTGCTATGAACATTGACATCTGTGTGCACGAATTATGAAAGTATACTTCAAGCTCAACACTGAAAATAATGAAAATATTCAAATCTGATTCAAGTATCGCCTCCCCAAGAACTTGAGACAAGTTGTTTCATCAGCTTCGAATGCATCATGCATGAAGAAATATATACAAATTTTCCAAATCAATCTGTTAGATTTTGAAGTCACAGATCTTGACAGTTGTAGCGATGTAATATGTTCTGCCACCAGAGATTGAAGTGGAGACAACGATATATCCCACAGAAAAGCAACAGCGGATCAAGAGGGGACAAAGAAGAACCCAATAAGAAAAAATGCTGCCTTTAAATATTCGTTGAGAGTCAGTCGTTGGATTCCAGGCTCGTGCGAATTTTCTATACATAAGGGTTGTCAGCTTCGATGCCAAAATTTTAAAAATTAGGTTCGGTGATCAAAACATGATTTGGATTGCTTGATTAATGGTTGTATGAAAGCATTTTTTTTTTCGATAATATTTATTACTTTGGATATTGAAAATTGAAGGTTGAAAAATAGAATGAATTGCTGCATTAAAAAAAAGCTTGTTCTAGAATGTCAATCAAGTCTTTTGGCTTGAAAGAATCCAATCAAACATTTTGTACCATGATTTCTTGAACATGATAGAGACTGATCGCAATTAGAATGTTGTTGTAAAACGAACGAATCTCGATCGAATACTGCAGACTTTGTTGCGTAGATTGGAAACTACTTTAGCAATCAGCATGCACCTATTCATTCATAAAATGCGAAAATTGAAATATTATCACGTTATTACAAAAAATTTTGCCGTTAGACGTTTTTTTGTTATTTTGCGTCGAAGAAAAAAATAATATTCATGCGACATTTCATGAAACATCATGGAAAAATACTGAACTGTTACTCATTGCAAAAAAAATACTTTTTTTCAAACCACTCACCAGATACCAATTTCTTCGATCACATGAAACTGGCCCGACACCCCCGTGGCCTGTCAATATCATGGTGTGCGGAATCACAGCAAGCCCAAGACGATCAAAGGATGACCTCTGCGCTGGCCTGTCCAGAAGGATGCTTGCTCTTTTGGCTACGTCATGTGCTGGTCTGCTTGTTGCTTCGGCTCTCTTCTCTGGTTCTGCTGCTGGCTGCTTGTTGCTTCAGCTTTCTGCTTTGCATGTTACTGGTCTGCTTGCTGTTGCTTTGGCTTTCCCTCTTGGTCTGTTGCTGCGCAAGAGCACGTAAATGAGCAAGTGTGGTGCCAGGGCCGGAGCAGATGACTAGCATATTGGCATGCAACGCCGTGGCCTGCAGCAGCCGGCCAGAATCTGGAAAGCAGAGCGCCAAATTGAAGTCGACAAACAAGTGCCGTGAATCACAAGGAACAATTGGGTTTGGAGGAACGCTGCAATAAAATGTCATACAGACCAGAATCAAGTATGGAAGATGTTACTGCAACCAAAATTGTATTCATGAGTGGAGCCTTGTTCAAATCTGTTTGCCGCCGATACATTTCTTCACAGCTTCTCTGTTTGAACACTAGCACCGATACAACTTGTCCAGACAGCACACCCGGCTTCTTTCCGATATTGCCCAACACGAATTGAACAGCGATTGTATGAAGACGACGGCTATAGGTCGCTGGACTGTCGACCGCGAACTGGTCCGAGGTCGAGGTGGCCTTCGACGGGGAATCGCAGGACACTCTCGAACGCCAAGCTGCGGGACCTCTTAACGGCTCCGGCTACCTCAGGGCGCCGGCCCCACGAACCCCCAGAACATCCACCACCTGCTCGAAGGCCCTTCTTTTCGAGCGTCCATTTAGAATTTTAAAATCCCAAGTCTCGTCAGCTTCAAATCCCGTCCTAGTATTGGGATGCGCGTGGGCCACGACGGGCCACACACATGTGGTTTTGA